TGGAGGTGGTTGTTGGTGGTGGCGGTTACGGTTGCGGTGGTGCATTTATGTTGGTAGTGGAGGTGGTGGTTTCCCGTGGTGTTGGTGGTCGTGGCGATAGTGCAGAGGTGGTGGTGGTGAAACTAGTCATTTTGGTTTTCTGTTACTAAAAATATAATTTGTGACCTTAAAATTCGATAACCCGTGACTAAAAATATAATCTGTGACCAACTATTTCGTTATCTGTGACCTAAAAATTGTATAATTTGTGACCGTGAAAAAATTTGTGGCTAAATAATTTGGAAATCTGTGTTCGTGTGACCTTCTGTGACTAAAAATATAATCTGTGACCAACTCGGTAATCTGTGACTAAAAATATAATCTGCGATCAACCATTTTGTTATCTGTGACCTAAAAATTATATAATATATGACCGTGAAAAAATCTATGACCAACTAATTTGAAAGCCTGTGACCGTGTGACCTATAAAAATGTTGTGACCAAGAATCGGTATTAACGGGTCACATGTGTTTGTAGAGTAACGATTCAAAAATACAAGTCACATTTACCTGAATAGTCACCGAAACGATCATTGACATAGTCGCCGAAATCGGAGTAATCGTCGGAACAGTCGGCAGAGCGATGGAGGTAATGGAGGTGGGGTGGGTTATATATATAGTGTATGAATACGTCAAATATCTGATTTTAAAAATTTGAAAGTTGTTTTTTATTTTTGAAATAGTATATAGTAAAAATAGAAGAAATGAATTTTTCCCTTTATTTTATTCACATACTTAACGACCTCAGCTCTTATTGACCCACATCAAGCACATGGTCTGACCCAACTTGAATGGGACACTGGCTAGTTTTGGGCTGAACTTTTATCGGATGGGCCAAATGATAGGTAAAATTCATGTCAACAAATCCCTTAAGAGAAAATTACCTCAATCCAACTTTACATCTCCACTAATCTCAAGCACATATCAGGTCTCACTATAAATATGGAAATGTGGGTGCTTCCAGATTCAAGTGCCGTTTGACATCACAAATCACAGAAATTCTTTATCTCTCTCTGTGTCTCCCCCCAAAATTTTCACTTTCGTCTTCCCGCCATTAGCTTCCCTCTCTCTGCCCAAAATT